CAGAGAGATGGAGAAATCCTGCTTAACCACTGTTCCAGACATCCATAGCCCACTCAAGATGAAAAATAAAACTAACCGTCATGTATGCCCTGACATGTAATTAATCCAATTTGTGATTTCTCCTCCCTAACTCCATAGCATGTTCTCTCAGCATTTTTGGACAGCTATGTGCCTGATTTGGGCATGCTATTAAATCCTTTCAAAAGAGCTAATGTGGATAAATAGCCTTTGCTGCTCTCTCGCTCTCTCTCTCTCTCTCTCTCTCTCTCTCTCTCTCTCTCTCTCTCTCTCTCTCTCTCTCCTTCCCTCCCTCCCTTTCTCTCTTTGTTTTTCTCACACTATTGTGAGAAATATTGGTAGACTCACGGATTTAAACATGTCTTATATAAAATTTTCTTTGGGGCTGGGGTGATGGCTCAGAGGTTACAAATACTTACTGTTTCTCTAAAGGGACCTGGTTTGGTTCCCGGCACCCCCACAGTGGCTCACCACTGCCTGTAACTCCAGTTCCATGGGAACTGATGCCTCCTCTAACCCTCCACACACCTGCATATATGTGGTGCACAACACACACACACACACACACACACACACACATACACACACAAAATAAATAGCTTTTAAAACATATTTTCACTTGTTAACACTGTACTTACATAAATATTCCTTCAATTTCCAGCAAAGTGAGTATATATGTGAGCCCAAGGAGGATATGAACAGTAGCAGACAAGATGATGGAATAGTGAAATGAATTGTGTATTCATCACTCCTTCCTCTCATCTCTGTACTGTGGACACATCACACATCCCTCTTGTCAACCTGCCCCATCTGCACGAAACGGGAGTTGACTCATTTGCCTCTGGGATGGTCAGGTTGGAGCATGTTACTTTTCCACATAACACTGAACAGTCTGAGCCACACTGTGTGGCAATGGAGATGGGCCACCGCTTTCAAATGGCTCATCAAACACAGAAGGTCATGCACATTCCCAACCAGTTAAGCAATGCCCCAGAGTGCAATGCCTCTTCCTTTGATTGGATTCCAGTTAATGGAATAATCTATTTCTAAAGAAGAGAGACAGAGATACCAGAACACCGAGGGACAGAGTCATCGACAAGAGCTTACAACACACCTGTTCCTTGCCTTTCATTGTCTGGCCTAGTCTTCAAGTTCATAAACTTGAGTTGTTAAAACAATTCAGGGGCTGGGGGGATAGCTCAGTGGTTGAAGCACTTGCCGTGAAAGTGTGAAGACTGGAGTTAGTTCCCAGAGCCCACACAGGATGTGGGCTGGGCACGGCAGCTGCCTGGAATTCCAGCTGAGGAAGGCAGAGAGAGATGATCCCCAGAGTGAGCTGGATAGTGAGATTAGCCATGTTGGTAATCTCTGAGTTTGGTTAAGCGAATAATCTGCGTTAGTGAATAAGGTAGAAGAGCAATAAAGGATGATTCCTGACATGCACGCTGGGCCTCCACATGCCCTTGCGCCTGCACATACACACATGTGCAAGCCCCCACATGTGTGCACACATAGATGCAAGCATGCACAGACAGCACACAGAGACACGCATTGAAATGGAAAAGAGAACAAAGGAATAAAACTCTACATGGCTAACTATGGATGTTTGTCCACAGAGACCCCTCTGGTTATTTTCATGTTGTCTCCTGCCTGCCCTTATCATTCGCCAGCTCCTAGCTCACCATAGCATCTTTAATCTTTGTAATCCGTCTCCTTTGTGTTTAGAAATGTTCAGGTGCCGCTGGATTGGCAATGACAGTTTGGACATGTACAGATAAGCCCATCATAAGCTCATCAGAGCGAGTGCCGGTTGTCACATACACCCCACCATCCTGAAAGATACAAAGTCTAAAAACCCAATGTCAACCATTGCAGTCAGGATCCAGGACTGTTTGTATCCTTGAAAAATAATGCCAGGGCTGAAGAAATGACTCAGCGGTTGAGAGCGCACTGATTGCTCTTGCAGAGGACCCGGGTTCAATTCCCAGCACCCACATGGCAGCTCACAACTATCAGTAACTCAAGTTCCATGGGATCCAACACCCTCACACAGACATACATGCAGGCAAAACACTAATCAATGTACATCGGGAAAAAAAAAAGAGGAGGGCAGGCCTTGCCCACCTCTCATCTCTTTCTGTTGCCAGGCGGTGGTGGCACACGCCTTTAATCTCAGCACTTGGGAGGCAGAGGCAGATGGATCTCTGTGAGTTCGAGGTCAGCCTGTGCTACAGAGTGAGTTCCAGGACAGGGACAAAGCTACACAGAGAAACCCTGTCTCGAAAAAAACAAACAAAAAAAAAAAAGAATGAAAGAAAGAAAGAAATAAAGAAAGAAAAAGAAAGAAAAGAAAAGAAAAAGAATGCCATTTTTGTGTCCATATTTTTTATTTAGATGAACAACATCCTCTCATCCATTTTCTTATTTGATTCCTCTGCAGTGTATTTTGAGACTTGATGCATAGTCCTGACAAATCTTGTTCATTGCATTCATTACATGAGAGCATTCTCATGGGGTTGTCTCAAATCATATACCTTTTCTTTATAGACTTTCCTTATCAGCAGACATGGAAGTTGCCTTCAAATGCACAAACTACCTGGTGAGAGTCCTCCCCATTGTCTTTGTATCCACAAATATCAAATTTCATCACACATACACACCCACACCCACCCACACCCTTAAAGATTAAATTATCAGAAATAATGCATATATGCTATGAGATAACTC